TTTTTTTCTAAAAGATCCCGAATTATGCGTGAATGAGATGAATGAAAAAAGAAGGTAAAAAAAGATTGTGGGGGAAAAAAAAAAAAAAATTGACATGTTACTTTTACATTGCATTTTGTACAATAATAAAATGGCGTATAATAACAATTCTTATTCCTTTTCTTATTATATAACAAAACTGGTAATGATACAAGAACGCGTTAAAAAAATTTTTTCAGTGACACTTTGTAATAATTATAGATGTAACGAAAAAAAAAAATAAATGTTAATATTGCTATTATTACGACATAAACATATTACATAACATCATATTTAACATTGTTCTATGAAACAACAATTATTATTTCAATTTTATTTTCGATTACATTGTTGACAATAAATTTCTGCCATATTGCATATTACTTTTCCAGAAAGGAACCCCAAGAGAATACATTAACGATAAGTATTATTTTCAAATATATTATGTATATATTATGTATAATTTTGGTAATATGTAATGTATAAATTGTAATATATAATAAGTAATATATAATAAGTAATAAAGTTGAGGGGGCGCAGTCCTTTTTAAGTAGGTACAACGAAAATTAATTAAAAATTTCGCTATTAGCCGTTATCATACATATTACTACATAAAACTATGTTTTAAATCTTTCACAACCACTCGGATTAAGACCTTCATTACTGATAAATTTAAGTATGGGTATTGGTTATTAAATAATTCAGATTTTATAAATTTATTATTATGGCGTCACATCTTTTTTTTTTTTTAAAAAAAAAAATAGATTTCTTTTTAGTTTGTAAACTTGAAAGAAAAAGGGCACACCTCAAAACTTGTTTATATTTCGTATCAATTGCCGTTCTGTGATTAGTTTGTGATCCAAGCTTCTTGATTGGAGATTTTCTTTTTGTTTGTGAAATTTATAATTATTTAATTATTGAATTAGATTTAACCGTGATCATATGAAATTTTTGGTTGAACGGGACCAATTATTCAATTAATAGTTAGTGTATTGATAAAGTCGTTCTTGTAAATATAAATATTATTATATTAGTATATATATTATTATATTAATATATCATTATCTTGCCCCAAAAAAAATAGATTATATAATGAAATGTTATCAAAGTTTTATCTGTTTATTATGATTAAATTTAAACTGATGTACCGTACTTGATGTACTTGATGTGTGATAATTACGCGTTTTAATAATAATTTAATAATAAACGCGAATAAAAATAAAGTTTTCTTTTAAAAAAAAAATATATTCTTCTTCACTGTATGTAAAAGTATGCAAATTTAAATTTAAGGTATATTAATTCCATTAAAAGCAGGTCCTTCATTTCATAGAAACCGGATTTTCAATTCCGATTCCGATTGAAAAACAATACGCGTAGAATATTCAAGGTATTCAAGGTTAAATGAATACTTAAAATAATCAGATTATTTTTTTTTAAAGTTATTAGTTAGATCAGAAAAAGAATTATTCAATAAATAAAAATTACTTACTGTCTTCCGTATTTGACAAACTACAATAATTACGTAACAAAAATATTTGGTTTCTGCTGGTGTTTACCTTGTATAGGATCGGGTAACTACTTAAATAAAAAATTGTTCACATTTATTTACATTTAAATTAAACTAAAATAATATAAATAAGATGTATAATTAATATAATTAATAATGTAAATATATAAATCATTTCATTAATGTATAATGCGGAATTTTTCTATAATTCACGCATAATTTATTTAATTTAAATAATTTAAGTTAATTTGAGTGATAATTTTACTTACATGTCGATTAAATTTTTACTTTAGCCTTTTTTCCTGATCTGTGATAACAAATATGTGGTCCATTGAATCCCCTGGTATTCTTATTTAAATATTCGATTTATAGTTTAATTAAAAACTAAATTAATATAACTTATGATTTCCTTTTCTATATCACAAAGTAAGCCTTTTTTATATACTTAGAATTTATTTTGAGATCTTTTTTTTTTTTTTTTTTTTTAAATGGTAATATTAAATAAAGCAATAAAAATTTTTTCTATTTTATTTTTGAACGGTACCAATTAAAGTAAATTATATTAAATTGCAATAAATAGATAATTATTTTTTATAAGATACAAAGATACAGCTAAGTTGAGTAAATAAAATATAAAATTATAAAGAAAAAAAAAAATCTCTTCGGGGATCGTCAAGTTACATAAGAACACAAGAATACCGCTGTTTATAGGCAATTAACATAAATAGAAAATTTATGAAACCCCAACATATGCAAGCACTTTTTTTATCTAATAATCATCGAAAAAAAACCGTTTAAAAAATTGATACCTTTAATTACACTTTCTATAGTATATTCTCCCACCCCGCTAAATACCGATTGGGTGATCTTTTAATAAATGCGACGAACATCCGTAAAGAAATATGTACGATAAATTGAAAAAAAAAGATATACGCGTACGTACATTGATATGTTTCGATCCATCAAATTAATCGGATTTATTTGTATTCATAATTTGTATATAAATCTATCTATAGTATATGATACATTACAGTATATTTAATACATACCCACGCAATTATATTTCTATTTTTTAAATAATTATTGTGAAGGGACCTCCTGTACGTACTCTTTACAACATCATACATATTGTCTTCTTTATGAGGAAAACAAGAGAATATATAGCGATATAATAGATTAATAGTTGATTGTAATCGGAATTCGGTATTATTATTATAATCAACGTTTTGGTCGGGGTTATATAAATAGTAACTCAAGTAATATCGATCGACGATCATAATAATCAATAATAACAATACCTCCCACCTCGAAATTAGCATTATTTAAAGATTGTTGATTGAATGGACTATCTAGTATACAAGGGTGAATGATAACAAATTCCCATTGGTTCTAACTTTCATATTTAATGAGAATGGGTTTTTTATGACGAAATACAATATGTTAACATAATTATTGTGCCTTTTTAAAAAAAAATCAGGAATTCGAACTTGCTTGTATGTAGAAAGAAAAAAGAATAATGTAATGTCAATATATTTTATGTAAAGTTGTGTAACGTTGTGACACGTGAAATATTAACCGTATATAAGCAAATTAGGTCAATTCCATTTAACCGATTATTAATTAGTCGTATTGTTGTTCATTTTGTAATTATTGTAAGGATTTTTATTGTTTTTCAAAAAAAATCCTTTCAAAAAAAAAAAAAAATCATTGTGTAACCAATAAAAATTTTTACAAATTTTCACCAAAATTTGTGGTTAAAATTTCATTCGAAAAGAAAAAAAAAGGTACACAAGCTTATGAAACGGAATTTTGCGAGGGAATCCTTTCTTGTTAGGTAATTTAAGTTTCAAAATTTATAACTTAGTTAAGAAGTTTTTAAATTATTTCAGCCTAAAGTTACTTTTTAAGTCATAGACATGCGCCCCCGGTTCTTAAATTCTATTTATGCATGGGATTATCAGCTATATTTGAAATCAAGAAAACTTAAATATTTTATAAATATTACGAAATGAAATGACAAAAAAAGGATTTTAAATATTTGCATCGCAAAAAAAAAGAATTTTATTTAAAATAAGTAATTCGTATATACTCAGCCATATAATATATATATTTTATAAAATCTATGTAATCAAATATGTTTTATAATACGTATAAATATGTACGTATTTACTATGCTATATAAGGTCGTACAATAAAAATTAAAATAATGGATATAAAATAATTATAAAATAATCATATATATCTGTATCTCTTTGTATTTTAAAAATTGTTGTTGAATTTTTTTTACATTTTTTTATTTGTATTTATATTTTTTTTACTGTAGATAATAAAAATTATGACATTTTTACAAAAGAAGCTTTGTAATTTGTAACCAGAAAAATTTTCTTTAATTATTTTTATCACATCACTGAAAAAAAAACAAATCACACTTACAATAAAAAAATTATTTCATTAGTACATTACCGAATTTATATTATTACTTTATTTCATATTTTTTATACTTTTTTTTTCACGTAACATTTTACATACTTTAGCGCGAATATATTAAATCCTTTTATCCCCAAAACGGACGCATAAAGTACTATAATATACTACTGTATAATTTGTATAAATTGTATATATATCAGAATCAAAAATTAAAATATAAAATCAACCATGATTTTAAGAAATTCTCATTATTCATTCTTTTTCTTTTTTTTTTTAATATGCCACCAATCCGTGATTACAAGTCCGCTTCACCTATTTCGCAACATCAAAATCCATCATCCTCAGGTGAAGATGACATCGAAAACTTGTCTCCTAAGAGTGACAAATCATTATCAATGGTCGATAAAAAACGTGGCAAAAGATCTCCTAGTATAAACACAAGAGCTTCAAGAGTAGGTGTAACAAATTTTATAAACGTCATAAAAAGCCTGCATCCTGGCGAATCAATAAATTATTTTCCTATAACCAAAGAAACTTTACAAGAATATATTGATTCAAAAAGGAAAGCTCTTATAAAAGCCGGTTCACTTGAACAATATTTACAACATATACAAGCTTATAATATTGCTCTTGGCTTTGGTTGGGATGGGCACGTATTCGGTCCCATAATTAAAAAAGCCTTGGATGAATTAAGAATTTATGAAGACGAAACCTCTTTAAAAACTGGAAACATTCTGGTGGTTTCTTCGGGTCAACAACAACAACCCACTTTAGTAAATTCTGTAATTTCTCAACAATTACAACAAACACAACCATTTTCAAGTTTAGATAATAATTTTCTTACTAGTTCTAATAATGATCTTAGCATGAATTTAATTACCATCGATGAAGATGAGGATACTAATAAACTCAGTTATGATGATCCTATCGACGAAGATATTTCACCACTTAACGGTAAATATATATTTTTTAATAACGCGTACGCGAAATTTATATTTTTATTTTTTTACCTTCGTGGCGATCTTTTGAATCATCAAATCGACATTTACCTGATGTTTGGAAAAATTATATAAAATAGAAAATTCAAAATCAATATCGATAGTTTGCTTCAATGCAACGGTTATTCCCTTCGTAATTCTAGAACAAACTGCAAAAGTTTCCCTAGATAACCTAACCTCTCCTGATCCAATACAAAATCTTCGTCAATTATACTCCAATGTCTCCTCTTTAAACATCCCAAAGTCTTGGGGTAATGTAGACACTTCAAAACTTCATTATAGAATTGGAACAAGTGAAGAATCCTTTCATTATGGTTTAATAGATGTATCCGCTTTCAATCGATTTTGGTCAAGTTTCAATGAACCTGAAGTCGGAAGAGATGTTCAGTTAATTGTTTATCGTGAAAGCATTTCTCTTTTAACATCAGGTAATTTGATTTATTTTCGTTTATAAGGTTGTACACAATACGTTTATACACAAAAAAAACCTTTTAAGAAAAAAAACATGACTTTTTGTCAAAGAATGATTGCGTCTCTTTTATGAAACGTACCGTAAAAAAAAAGAATGATAGGCATTTTTGCATTTTTTGACCAATAATTTTTTTCGATTCCCATTTTTGTGTTAGAAGGAACCAAAATAATAATGCAGTAATTTAATTATTCTACATAAATTATTTGTTTCATTACGTACATATTACGTTTTAAATATAGGCCAAAGACGTTTTAATGCTAGCCCTGAACCCATGTATCCAACAAGTCAACCACAATCTCCCAATCGTAGGTCTCTTGGTCTGTATTGTGAGTAAATAATACATAGGGGACGATTATTAAAATGCAGATCGGAGAAATATTATTTATTGTTATCTTGAGTTAATTAATTAATTATTTTGTTTTCCTTATTAATAATTATAGACTCTCCAGCATTAAAATCGGTAACAGTTCGTTCGAAAACTAAAGTGTACAAACAAAAGATAGCCGTAGCCGATACCACTACATTCGCTACTCTAATTTCTTTTGCAATTAAAGTTCAACCTCCGACTGGAAAACAATTTGTAATTAGAGCAGCGGATGGAGCGTTAGAATATATGCCAGATGACTTAGTTCGAGAAGTCATTACTGGCGTTGAACATACAGAAATTATTGTTTGCATAGAAGACGTTGGGCCTCCCGTAAATTTTGATTATTTTTGATATTCCCTTTTAAAAAAAAACACTTCAATATTAACTTTAATATAATTTTTATAAGCCAAACACTCAATTAATTATAATTACTATTAAATTTTTGTATAATAGCTTTTTTTATTTACATAATTATAGACAATATCATTGACGATTAGTCTCTCTTTAAATACCCAGCCCAAATACACAATACCAAATTTGTATGTACATAATATATAAACCTTTACACCCAAAATTCCTTTCTTTGTACTATTTTTTTTTCAAATCAATACCCAATAAATACCCAATAAACCCAATAAACCCAATAAACCCAATAAACCCAATAAACCCAATAAATCTATTTTTTCATTCTTTATGATCTGTCTCTTATACACATCTAGATGTGTATAAGAGACAGATATTCTTTTTTGTTTTAATTTACAGAGGATTACTTTTTACTATATACATATATAATTAAGGAAATATATTTTCGGATTTTTTTAAACTAGAAAATCCTTATGAGCTTACTTTTTATTTTCTCATTATGCAATTGATTAAAATATTTGTTTATTTACTTATTTTATTTATTTTTTTTAATAAAAATAAAAAAAACTTTAAAATATAATTTTTATTTGAAATATGTATTTGGTCAGTGAAAGAGATTTTCAGTTTTTTATTGGTTAAAAAAAAAATTTAAGATCCGGCTTTTCCGAAATTATAAAACAAGTGTACATAAGTACATAAGTGACGTAAGGGCAGTTAATATACTAACAAGAAGTCAAAAGTCTCTAAAGTAATGGAGAGATTTTTCGATCGGAATTTTAATTTCGGAAATATCCGCTGTAGAAATCTCAATTAATATTTTATTTTGAAATATAAAATAATTTTTAAATAATAAATAGATTACAAGGTTAGAATGTTCTTAAAAAGTAAAGAGATGTAGAAAAAAAAAGGACAAGAATAATATTTAAAGAGGCAAGATCTATTTGTAAGAGGGAATAAAGATATCGGAGATATCCGTTAATAACTTTTGTTGGGTATACACAATTAATGAAAAGCAAATTCTTTTTTCAAGGATATTCTGGTAATCACAAAGATCAAATTTTTTTTTTAATTTAATGTTGATCATAATATGAATAACATGAGCTTTCACTATTACTAAAATAGTATTTTTTCCTTTTTTTCCCGTTCTTTAGATACTTTTTGACAAAGAATTACTAAAGAATTTTAAATTAGAACTTTTTGTTCCGGTTTTCTTTATTTGTGTTTCAAAAGAATTTTTTTTTTATGAATGAATAAAAAATTGGTTTTATTTTGATAAACTTGAAATGTTTCATGATTTTTCAAAAAAAATATTGTAAAGCCGTTGTTTTAAACTATTTGGGATATTTATTGAAACTAATTAATAAAATACCCCCGACACCCTTTCTTTTTTAAATTTTTTTAATTGGTTGGTTTTTTTATTTATTTTCATACTAAATATTGATTAATAATAAGAAACGTAAAAAAAAATTTAAAAAAAACATTCAGATTTGTTTATTTATATTTTTTAAATTATTTAATATTGATTAATAATAATTATAATATAACATCGGAACATTGCGATACTGTATTTTATTATTTTTCTTTTTAAAAAAAAAAATGATTAACGTAAATATTCTTTATTTCTTTATTTCTTTATTTTTTTTATGTATATAATGTTTATTTATTTCTTTGTTTCTTTACGTATATAATGTATATTTTAAATATAAATATTACATACTATATATATAATATTTTCATTATACATTAATAATGGTTATATGTATTGATTAATATTCTTAAAAGAAAATACTATTGATAATAAATAATTAATATATGACGTATATATAAATTCGTTGATAAATATATATTATATACTGTAATATATATTTTATTTACTTAATTTTTTTATATGTTAGATATAGCATTATTGATTATTAAAAAAAAAGGTCGTAATAATTTATATATAAATTTTTTTATTTTTTATATTTATTTTATATTTTGGTAAATGCCAAAGAATTTTGAAAGTTTGATACTGTTTAAGTTTTTTTAATTCGGATAAAAAGATAAATTAATTCGGATAAAAAAAAAAATATCCGTTTTATTGTTTTAATGAAATGTATATTCAGTTTAATGTGTTTTCGCACATATAACATATTAAACTCGCACAAATTATAGATAACGCTTTAATTAAAATATTTTTTCTTTAGCGCCTGTTAATCACTGGCCGTTGAATTTGTAAATTTCCATAAAAATCACAATTGTAACGGATTAACGGCGTAATGTTATAAGATTATGTGGTTAAGTTCCGGCCGTAATTTCCGTATTACCGTTTTTTTGCCATATTTGCCGTATTTGCCGGCAAGTCCGTATGAATTTAACTTAATAACTAAAAAAATATTTTCTTTCAAAAAAAATCATTTAATAGCGAAATTTTGATATGAACATTATGTATGATATGTCAAATATATCTCGTCATGATTACGAACTTTGCAATTAATTAACTTGAAGCGTAGATAAAAAAAGCTAGACTGAACGTATATTCTAACTAATATCATATATATAGTGAAAATTTTTATTATATATTTTCTGCCAATATTTCTCTGTTATAATAAATATACTGTAACATAAAAAAAATACTCGTAAAAAATTTCCCGACTACGAATCGGTGTATTTCATGAAAATGAAATGCATATCGAATGACAAATAAAATGATTTCATTGCAAAATAAAGTTAATACCAAATAATTACATATATTAAATAATAATAGATATCATCCATCATTTAAATCTAATTACGTATTTGCTGGCTAATAATTATTGGTATTTATCAATTGAATAAGTTGAATCAAGAGTATTATTATATCCCATGAATTAATAAACATATAATATTAGTCATTTTTTGCCTCTAGCTAGTAGAATTTTCGCCGTAGCCGAAAAGATATACATGATATTTATATATTAATAAAATACGTACTATAATTATTTAAACTCGATGGCGAATTTGTTTGTATTTTTTATTATATATCGGTATTATTAATAATGATTTTACATTGCGATCGAGTCGCGAAGCTAATTCAATAATACCATTCAACATAGAATGGTTGACCAAAATAGGTTACATAAATATTTAATCATAGAAATATATAAATAGAATAATTTATTATTATTTTTTTTTGATCAACCGAGTTTCATATAAAAATGAAAGCACTTAAACATATCCGTTTACTCAAATTTTATTATGATTTTTTATGAAATTTTCTTTCTTTTCCATTTTTTCCCAGTATTAATTCACTTCATCTCCCTTCAATCATTCCTCAGGTGATGTATATTTTTTAATTGTGATAATCATCATCTTATATGCAACCAACCAATTCCTGGTCATAAATCTCCTCATTCTCTTATTAAAATCCTTCTTCGGAAGATGATCAAATATGAATAGTATTTAAAGATCTCCAAGAAATTAACACGAAAGATTCAAAATAAATTCTATAAATGCGTGCTATAGAGCTCATATCCGAAAGAACCAATAAATTATTCTCTTGACTTTATAATATAATTATAATATCGCTAAAGATGGTCATATTAAACATATGGTGGCACAAAATATATATAAAAAGTTTTCATTGAACTTTGTTTTTTTCTGGGGATAAAAAGTTGGGGATAATAGGTTAATGATAATATCTTTTTTTAAAAGGATTGTGACCAAGATTCTTTAATGATTGTTGAACATTTAACCCCACATATCACATAATTTAAATTCGGAAATTACGATTGCTACAGTTATAAAAACAAACAAATAACCATTTATATTTACATTGAAAACATTGAAAAAAAAAAGATTTTTTTATGTTCTTCATACATTTATTTTATATATATAATAATTTAAAATACGGGAATATATATTTATATTTTTTTTTTTTTACTGCTTAAAATGACTGCATAAACAAGTTTATTATTACTGCAATCACTGCATATATTGTATATTATATACTGTGAAAAAAAAAGAACAATTGGGAAATCAAAATCCATCAAATTATATAAAATCTACCATGATTTTAAGAAATTCATTCATTCTTTTCCGGTCTTTTTCCAAGTCGTAAACATAACCATCATCGAAATCTATCTTCAGGTGAAGACGACGTTGAAAATTTGTCTTTAAAAATGACAAATCATTATCAATGGTCGATAAGAAAAGATCTAGTAGTATAAACACACGAACTTTTAAGATAAATTTTAGAAATATCATAAAGAGTCTACATCCTGACGAACCAATATTGATTCAAAAAGAAAAACTTTTTGAAGCCGGACTTGAACAATATTCATAATATATATAAGCTTATAATATTGCTCTTGACTTTAGTTGGGAATGGTCGTGTACTAAAAAATCTTTGGATGAATTTAAGAATTTATGAAGATGAAACTTCCTCTAAGAACTGGAAACATTTTGGTGGTCTATAAATTCTCAACAATTACAGCAAACAGCCAACAACCATCTTCAAAGTTCTTTGAAAAATAGTTTTAATGACCTTAACGCGATGAATTTAGTAATTACCATCGATAAAATGAAAATGAGAAACCAGTGATCCCATCGACGAATTAACGGTAAATATTTTTTGGTTATATTTACTATTCTTTTTTAATACAATTTTAATACGCGAATATATACTTATACAAAAAAATCTTTTCATGCATAAACAAGTTTTATTTATTGCTGTATTAAAACACTCGGTCAATTTATATAAAACCTTAAAAGAAATTCTTTTCATTCATTCTTTCCAATTATTTTTTTCTAATAACCATCAAATTCGTGAACATAAATTCGTTTCACCTACTTCGCAACAATAAATCCTCTGGTGATTGACGATGTTGAAAATTTGTCTCCTAAATCATTATCGCTAGTCGGTAAGAATGTGTGGCAAAAAAGATCTCCTTGTATGATAAATACGAGCTTTAAACAAGTTTTGTGACATAAAAAGTCTGCATTCTGGTGAATCAATAAAATTATTTTCCTATAACAAAAGATATTTTACGAGGATATATTGATTAAAAAAGGAAAGCTATCTGAGGTTTCCTTGAACAATATTCACAACATATATAAACTTATAATATTGCTCTTTGCCTTAGTTGGTATGTCATGCATTCTGTCCCATAATTAAAAAAGCCTTGGATAAATCAAGAATCTATAAAGATGAAATCTCTTTAAAGACTGTAAGCCTTCTTTAGGTCAGCAACAACATTATTAGTCAACAATTACAACACTCATAACCATTTTCAAGTTTGGATAAATAATTTTTTACAAATTTTAATCTTAAGCGCGATGAATTTAGTTACTATCGATGAAAATGAAGATACTAATAAAATAGGTCATGATAATCGATGAAGATTTATTGTCTAACGGTAAATATTTTTTATAACGCGTACGTACGAATATTGTGACGGTCTTTTCAATAATCGAATTGCCGATTTTTGGAAGAAAATCATAGTTTGCTTCAATGCTACAGCTAATCTACAGAAGTTTTCTAGACAACCTAAACTATCCTAAATTCATATTAATTTTCAAATCGATTATATTTCAACGTCTCCTCTTTTCTAAAGTCTTGAGTCCTGTAGACACTTCAAAAGTGACGACGCTTATCATCATGTTTAATGCTCCAATTGATTTTGACCAAATTTCAATGAACGTGAAGTCGGAAAAGAAATTCAAATAATTATTTATCGTAAATTATCGTAAATTATCAGCACATATTTAATTTACTTTCTCATTTATACAAATACTCTTTTTTATGACATTTTTGCCAAGGGACGATTGCGTTTTTTTGATTGAAACATACAAAAAAAAAAAAAATTTAAATAGGCATTTTGAATTTAATGTCTTTTTTCCCGTTTTGTGTCAAAAAGATCTAAGTAATTTAATTATTCAACATAAATTAGATAGTTCGTTAAGTTCGTTGCGTACGTATTGCGTTTTATATATAGGCAAAAACATACGAATCTAGTCCTAAACCATCCAGTAAGTCAATCATCAATCTCTTGGGCTAGTACTAAGTATAATGCAGATCGAAGAAATATTGTTGTATTGTTATTGTCGGTTAAATTAATTATTTTATTTTTTTTTTTCTTTATTAAATTATAGACTCTCCGGTATTAAAATCGGTGACGGTTCGCCCAAAAAACTAAAATGTACAAATAAAATATAGCCCGTAGCTGATACCTACACTCGCTACGCTAATTTCTTTCGAAATTAAAGCTTCACCTCCGGCTTGAAACTTGTAATATGGGCTGTTCGCACATATGCCAGATAATTTAGTCCGAGAAGTAATTACTGGTGTTTAGCGTGTAGAAATTGTTGTGTTATGGATTTTAAATACTTTTTCTTTTATATACTACATACTGTATATTACATTCATTCATAAACAAATCTCATTTTTTGGAGGATTAAGGAACTTGAAAAAAAGATAGTTTAAAGGATTCGATTGGTTTAAGTTGTGGAAATCATCTTTTTAATCGTAATAATTAATGTAAGGCTATGAAACTGAATACATGTCCATTCCAGCCAAAACCAAGAGCAATATTATAAGCTTGTATATGTTGTAAATATAGGAGTTTTCCTTTTTGAATCTTATTCTTGATACACCGGAATATTGAAATTATCTGGTATAGCGAGTAATGTTTAAAAATAAATCTTTTATAAGGAAATAAGGAAGGGTATATTGTAATATACAGTATATCTGATATGCAGTAAATAGACTATAACTTTTATATTTAAAAAGTCTTAAAAAAAAATTTAAAGAATTAATTTTTGTGCAGAAGCTTTAGCACCAGTCATTTGTACATGTAATGCAGGAATTTAGCGCTCATACGAATGAGGGCAGAAAACACTGTGTAAGCACGAGACTTGTGCTGAATAAGATCTTGAAAGATTGTTTGTCAATGCGATTCATGTGTGAATATCATTTGTTGCAGTCTATAACATGAGCTGCTTCAACTTCAATCTATTACGCATTCCTTTTTTAAATAAGGAAAATTTGGTTATTTATATTAATTGTTATGATTGATTTTGTCTTTATAATACGAATTTAGAAACGGATTTGTCATAAGATTCTTTGTAAAATTCAAATACCATTAAGCTTTCTTCTAAAGTATCAATACCGGATGACAGACTGGAAGCATTAGATATATAAATAGAATGTGATTAAAATGGTATGGGACGTATACAGGATTTAGCCTAAATAATTGAAGTCTAAAATCGTACCTAAAATAAAGGAACTTAATATATATAACGGGTTTTCACAATCCCAATACGGAAGAGAGATAGAGAAATATATTCACCTTAATCAATTGAAGGATTATCTCAAATATCTAAGCACTTCACTAAAAATTTGGTATTACTCGTATGTTCGAAGGAATCGGATTCTCATTTAGTGAACTTCGCGGAAACTAGATTCATAGACTTCTTCCATCATATAAAATATGTGCAAAAGGATACTTTGAACTTTTGTATGGAGGAAAGAAAGTATGGTGAAGATTTAGGCAAATCCGAGAGGTAAATAATGGTAGTTACACTTTATTATGAGCCATTTTTAAAATCTTTGTAAACTTTATTTGTATGAGTTTAGATATATTATATAAATCTTTTGATTTACTGTTTCATTTCTCAATTTTAAAATAATGTAATTTGATTTTAAATTAATTATTGCATTTAAGAAGTTAAGAAGTTGTATACATTATTCGAAGCTGATGTGATTCTGATTTTGCGAAAAATCTTCACAGTAAGGATTCATTCCTCTTTGCCTCCTTACCAACAGCGCCATACTATCGCCATACTATATAGCGTGAGAAACAAAAAAAAAATTCAGGTGTATGATTTTATGCGACTTTTCTCACATGATATATACACTAATAGCTCACAAGAACTTTTTATTTTTAAAATTAGTTTTTTGATCGAAGACTGATATAGTTATTTCGCTATAAATATTCATACATTCTATTTTTTTTTTTAAAGAACCTGTTTACAATAAAAATAATTAGTTTGTGGCTTAAAAAATTTTCGTGCAATATACTAGCTTACATTTCACGAGTATATTCTGAGAAAGAGTGGGTAAGGAGTGAGATAACATGAAATTTTATTAATCCTAATTTGAAACTAAATTTGATACGCGATTCGCGCAACATGCAGTAGTTTTGTTTATAAATCATACTATATATAATTCACGATTTAATCTTATTGCCATTACGAGGAAAAATGATGGAGTCTAAAGATGGTATATATATATATATTTACTTCTAAACGTAATTTTTGATATTAAGTTTTTCAGTTATTTAATTTTTTTTTTTAAAAAAACTTTTAGCAACGCTTGCTTTACCCCTTCCTTCTCAGTTAGACAAATGGACAAGTTTTGATGTTTTCAGATATTTCAAAAGCAAGGCCATCGCATTATCAATTCTTGATAAAGAACTAAACATTTTTATTGACGAACGTATTACAGGAAAACATTTAATTGAAATCACAATACATATTCTTAGATTAGCTGGATTCACTATTGGTTCTTCAATGAATATTATGGTCGAGATTAATTTATTGAAGAGTATGCTTTTATTTATTAATTATTTCTTTTTTTGAATTTGGAACTTTAATAAACCTTTTTTTTTGGTGTTTATTAGACGAATACTACATTTCTTTATCGAATAGGACGAACGGTATTATAATAATAAAATTGATTATTTGTGTTACTTTTGTTATGTGATTTTAGTAAGATTTTTTTATTATTATTATTTTGCATTTTTCAGTATCAGAGTCAGTCACTGATATTACAGAAATTGATTACTTGAAGAAAATCCTTGGAGTGGTCGAAAATATTTTGGAACATATTTCGTTGTAATTGAATAACATTTATCCTTTTAAGGATTTTCTTAGTCTTCCGATTATTGTTTTCGAAAGGATCAAAACTATTGTAGAAGATAAATAAAAGACTTTTACGAAAGTTAATTTTTTTCATATTGTTTATTTATATCAGATAATATCTAGTCAAATTGCAAAGTTAGGTGAGGACTCTTCGATACAGGTCGATCGAATTTACTTCACGAAAATAAAATCATATTATTACTGTGAAGATGGTCCATGGTATATGCAGATAGATTTCCATAAGCCAGTACAGCTCAACCATTCAAAAGTTTCCTACACCATCTAAATAATCATAAAAGAAAAATCAGCTCAATGATCCCCTAAGAGGCTTTAAGAGTACACACTGCCAGCTTAAACCTCTTATTAACTTTTCATAATTTTCTTTTGCCATATGCAATAACGAAGTACGACCCTGTTTGGTTACCAGATGAAAATCGGAGTTTCATATTATGAGTGTAAATCAAAGCCGATCCCTTAGAAAGAGGCGTTCCTTCAAGAAGAAAGTAAAGGGAAATTTCTTTTTTACTAAGTTTTTCATTAGGGATATTGTGAGGAAATTTCAAAGACACAGAGCAGGAGAATCCTTTTGCACTTTTATCGTTGAAATTAGATCCATTTGATTTGATCTCAATTAATCTTCCTATGAAGTTTTTGAAGCATAGTAACGTGACATTGAATTTGTTAAAGAACTTGTGCAAAAAGCCATTGCAACGAATAGCGTTTTTTAAACATTGCACTTATTAATTTATATTCATTTGCAGATTATTTATAAGATCATTTGCTTGCACTCTGCCATAATAATTAAATTCTAGTTTCTTCCATGCTATACAAATCCCATTTATAACTCACATGCCCAAGTAATGTTTTATCCCATTTAGATGGTGGTAGTGGCGGTAGTTCCTCTTAAGATGGATAAATGAGAATTTATTGTGTTGAATCTAGATAAATTCGAAGGGCGGGTCAAAAATGCTTTACTAGCTGGGGATAATCAACAGTGGAGTAGTTCAGGTTAGTCTGAAAACGTGGACTTAAAATGGTGAAAATTTGTGGTTATTCCACCAATAAAATTTTTATTACTAGATGTACCAACACATAAATTTGGGACTTAGCTCGGAAAATACATGACATTGAACGAAAATGTCTTAATTTTTTTGTCTCACCACCCTTTATGCCACAACTTCGTAAGTTTTCTTTGGTCAAGATAAGATAAAAATATCATAAACCATTGATTCTCATTTACGATTCCTTTATAAACCCCAAGTCTTACTGCTTTCGTAAATAGCAGCTATTGATGTTGACAACGAAACAAAATTCAATAATACTTTCAAAAAATTAGTATTGGATTTCATCGAGATGGTATTTTGAAATTATCAATGCAACCACATTTGAAATTGTGCTCTTACTGTTGACACTAAAAAAGTTGAATGATGATCTTGATAGATGGTCTTTTTTTTAATACTTTTATGAAGTTATCCTATAAAATATCATCTGAACAAACAACATCATCACACTCAACACACTCAACGTTGGGGATAAAGAAAATTAACTTATATGAGATTATAGTCTATTGTAAGTGATGAGAATTGAGTTATTGATATCAAAAGGTTCTGCAAAATCTTTACGTTTTATTTTATTGATCTTAGAATGAACCTTCTTACTATTATGTTACGCATTATACGTGTAGGAATCTCTATGTTGTGGACAGATTAATGGAATTTTCAAATTCCAGAAGCCAACTATATACACTAGAAGAGGTTTTCAAGAAAGTCTACATGTTCAAGGTATTCAACATGTTCATCTTTGTTACTCGTAATCTTATTTCATCTTTTGTACTTCTTTTGTACTATAGAGCCGAACCATGGATTATTATACAGAAATACAAAAAAACTTAAGCTAATAGTACAAAGGAGTCACCACTTGGAGCATCAAAAAGACGATCATCGATATATTGAATTAATGGATAAAGTCCTAACACTATTAAATTCACTAAATTCACTTATAATTTAATTTGGTTTGCATGTATTTTATGAGAGAGAATAATAGTAGTCATATATTAACGACGTTACCCTCTCACTGTATTTTATCTTAAATTGTAACGTAACGCATAATGCGCATACGTGATGATGATATAACGAGACTGTGATGATCTCACTTATTATAATGCATTTAATATTGTACAAAAAAAATTAAAAATTTTTAATATTAAATGATTTAAAGTTTAAACCACAATCATATGGGAGTGAAAGTGTTGTAAAATCTATTAAATCTAAAATTTACATAAAATGAGTTAATCAAAAAAAAAAAGAATAAATTGTCAATCTTTTAAATATATTATTATTGAAGTAAAATGAATGTAGAATTTGTACTAATTATATTAATTTTAAATGAAATATGGAGATCCATTAGCCATTGGACCAACCTTGTACTTTAAACCTTCACGTTCAATATTTTTATGAACTAAAATTAGATGATAAAGAGGTGATTCTTTTCAGATATTTTCTGCACCTAATTAATATAATTTGCAATACTCCATAATGATAGGGTTGACTTTAAAATTATAAAAGTATCAAATATCCAATTCTTCCTCTGTATCTTTACCTTCACGATGATAAGTAAATTTGATTCGTTTAACTTCCTGTTTAACCTCTTGAGTAAAAGTAAAACTATGCCTTTGCCTTTTCTTCTTTCTATTACTACTCATTTGTTTATAACCATTCTTTATGTAATCATCTGAACTCGATGATGATTCATCATTTATACTTACAGCCTATGAAAAATATATATATAATCAATATAAATTACACAAAATAAAATAATTACAAATATAATAATTAAAATATAAAATATAATGTACCTTTTCAGAGGTTACGCTATAAGTAAAAATATTTCAATGATTACTATTACTTTATAAAAATAAATACCAATAACTGCCTTACATTTATCTTTGATCCTAATCTTACCTTGATCTTGAAAACAATCGTTCTTCAGGAGTAATTTCTGTTCGTTTCTTTTTCTCAGTAGAAGGTCTCAAATACGAATCAAACCCACGGATAAGATTTCCACCAGAATGGGTCTCTTCTAGATAAGAACCTTCAAAGTTCCAAATATTATTTTCTATAGTTTTCTATATCGGTATAGTTAGGAATAAATTTCTTTATTAAATACAGGCAATTTAAACTAAATATTTATCTATTTACCAGACTTTTATCAACTTGTTTTTTTCTAACTAACAAATCTTTAAGTTCTGCTTCTACTTCTTCCAATTTCTGTCTTGTTACAGCGGGAGTCTATAAAAAAGAAAGTTAGATAAAAATTTTTGATAAAGAGCCAAGAATAAACCTACTACATTGTTGCTAGTAGAAGGATCTTCTCCAACATCTGGCATTTTGTAATAAACGTAGAATTGAATTAAATGATTTTCAATGATTTTCAATGATTAGAAAATTTAAAAAGCCGTGATTTTCGCAAGCCGTGATTTTCGTATGCAATACATATTTTTATGAGTAATATAGTTCATGTATATTACATGAAAAATTTAATAATAAATGTGATTGGAATGATATTTAAATATTTGATATACAGTAAAATACAACTTTTACAAATTATATACTGCATATTGTCAGAATTTAGAGTTTTATTTATTCTGTACCGAAATAAAAATTTTTGCAATGTGAAAGAAAGAAAGAAGTTAATTTAATTAAATTGTAAATTTATAATTTTGACTATTAAAAGAGATTATTTGGATATTAATTTATATTACAAAATAAAATAAAACAAAATAATGAATTGAAATACATTTTGTGTGAAATATGAATAACCTATTAACAAATTTATATCATCAATAATATAAATTAATGATTTATAAGGGAATAATGATTTTAAAATAAATTAAAAAATTTACAATTTGGTGAGGTTGTAAGTATATTAAGCAAAAGGAATAAGGAATACACAAAAAATGAATAATTCATATCCTTTGACTATTAACAATTAGTAAATGTTCACAACGAATTAAAAGGTTAAGGAGAGAATGAGTAAAACCTTGGATTCAAGGCTAATATGATACAATTATAATTATAATAAAAATAATAATCAGAATCAGGAACATTTTTATCATCATTTTTTAAAAAAATTGATGACAACAATTATATAATATTAATAATTATTACGAATCATCCTAAATTGTTTATTAATTGAATCAAATTCTTTCAACTTAATCTAGTAGTTGTAAAAGTTGTCCTTTCTGTCCTGTCACGTGCCGTCGAATCAGTAACAACAACACGTTGATTTGTCTCCATAATATTATCGTTGATTATACTGGAATCATTCTCACTAAAATACGGTGACTGTGTAGTCGATGAATCGTGGTCGCTATTATAAAAATTATTGAGCTGTAGGCTGGATATAGCGCTCAATGCGGGAGAATACGGGGAATGATTTAATGTATCAACTTGCAGGGGAGGAAAATCTTCCTTCGGATCAAAAAAGAAAGGTCCCAAGCGCGATTCAGTGTAAGATGGGTAAGAAATATTCTCTGGAAGATCCTCTTGAGATATGTGAGGGAAAGATGAAATAGCTATAGGGATGATTACTTCATGATATTGCATTTTGGTAAGTAAAGATCCCATCTCAGCTTGTATTACACATCGAAGAGTATAATATACTCTTAAATGGCGACCAGTAAATGTTGGGGGTATATGATGAAATTTTTTGGGCACAGTAAGAGAGAATTCCAACTCTCCTTTCTGATTTGTTGTTGCTCCAATATCACATCGCCTATCTGTAGAAACAAGTGAACGTTCATGCTTTTCGCAAACAAACTCCCTATCAAGGGGACCCTCATAATGTTTACGCAAAGAACATTGAACGCAAGTAATACGTCCACTAGAATGGTTGGTTAGTCTCAGCGTGAATTTTAGGTCTTCACCTAATAAGTAGTAAATAATTAGATATATAAACTATATAGTTATAGCGTATTTAACAGAATAATTAATTACCGGGTGAAAACACGTGTTTGGGTAAGATTGCTTCGACCTCTACCAACATCTTCCTTGGTGATTTGTTTTCATTATGTAATATATCCCTAAAACTCCATTCTTGATCTGGTGGAGCAAAAGATACAGGAATAAATGGTGTAACTACTTCAGGACCTTCGATTAGGGATCCACCAGCTCCTTCTATTACTGGTTGCCATATATAACGAATTGAGAAACCTTTCGGTCCCTGATAATATTATATTAAATCGACTTAATAAATATATAATAAATCTAATTATTATAACTTTAAAGATTAGAATAATTAATGTATAAAAACCTCAACAGAAGGCGGAAAATTGACCGGCGGAAGCTACAAAATAAATATGCAATTGTATTTATAGATATTTGACATGACAATTAAATTAAAAGAAAGGAAACATTTTATACATTTTATACCTTTAGAGCAAATTCAAATTTATATGTTCCTGGGGCAAGTTCTTTCCAAGGACGATATTCATTGGCTTTGTTTAATAAATAAAGACAAATTCACATTAAATCATCATTTTTTTCGACTTTCAAAACTAGTATTGGTAAATATAACTATATTTTTTATTAAGAACTATCCTAGTTACCTCGCGTTTGGCCATTACTTCCACCGCTCCAGACCGTATAATTGCATTCAAAATAAATGGTTCGCGCAGTCTCGACACGTCTTGTTGTTCTGGGAACTGGCCCAGAATCCTTTATCTTAGCAGATGCAGTTTCTTCACCTTCATAACATATTAAGAATTAATTAGAGGTTGATAATTATAAGAAAATTCGCAACGTTTAATCCATATTTGAAAGAATACCTCGAAATTTAATTTTGATCGATGATGCAAACAACGTCTTGCTAGTATCCGAGATTGTTAAAGATACCGAACCTTTTTTAAAATTTACGATTTTGATTATCAAAAATTCAATAACATTTGAATAAATTTTTAACATAAATATAGGAATAAAAGATGTCAACACATACCTCGAACTACCTGAGAGGGCCGTAATGTCAATGTCCTACCAACTTCAAATTCTACATTTAGTTGTGGTGAGGACATTTGCTGTTTATCTTCTTTTACAAATCTTAAGATTTTCGACATTCAATCAATAACTATTAAACTTGAACTCTTCTATCAGAAATAAGATACGTTTCTTTCTTTCTTAGCTTAAATATCCAAAAAATATTTTAAAATATGTATAAACGAGAGAAACTCCTCTTTCTAAACGTTTAAAATTAAAAGCTTGACAAAAAGATCTAATGAGTGAAATTAAAAATTGGTAGGTAATAATTTTTTTTTTTATTAAATATATCAAATATTTAATTTGAGTGCATATTTTTAAATTGTTCTTCCTCAATTTAGCTAATTTGTAGCTTTACTGCGGACTACGTTCATTCAACAATGACACATAGTAATTCTATCATCAAGTGATATTATATTTATATTAGTTGTACTGTGTGGTACAAATTTTCACCAATAAATTGACCGAAAACGATATCAACAATGGCCTCCCGTACTACATTAGAGCTTTTTTTAGCCTAATTATTCGACATCGGTTTTCTCTCGTTTTTCTTCTCGAAACTAAACTGAAACTTTCATATTAGGCTTTGTACTTTACACTTACATAATATTTTGTATTAGGATTTTATTAATTTAATTACGTGTCATTTTTAGGCTCATTACATCATAAATAAATTAAAATTATCTTCAGATAAAATTTTATCTAATATTTTAATCTTGAAAAAAGAAAAAAAATTATGAGCGGTTCTAGTACGACGACACTTACAGTGTTAACCTTAAATTGCTGGTATTTATTTAGGTTAAAGTGTTTTTGTACGTTTTATATATTCGTCCTAATTTTTGTAACTTATATTAGGGGTCTGAAATATATCTCCAAGAAAGTTGATCAACGTATGGAAGCTATTGCAGATAACTTGGCTCATTCGGACTATGAAATCGTTTGTTTACAAGAAGTTTGGGTATATAAAAATTTTGAAGGCATTAAAAGTAAAGCAAAAAAACGATTTCCTTACGCTAGGTTTTATAACAGGTAAACAAGTTTTTTTAGCATGTCTGCTGCGTACTTGTGTAATAATACATTATCAATTAACGTACTAACAAAATTCTCCAAATTACGTAGGTAATATAAAATAATGGATATTTAATTAATTTAACGCCCAGAACATAAGGGAGAATACCATTTGGTATCTCGTCAGAATTTAGTCAAATTTGGTTAGGATTATAAATTAAAAGTCATACGTTTCCATTTTTAAAGTGGTGTTTTTGGTACAGGTCTTGTCATCCTTTCACGATATCCAATAGTTGATGTATCTTTTTATCCATATCGTTTAAACGGTATGCCTATTAAATTTACGCATGGCGATTGGTATGTTAGTAAAGGAGTAGCCAGCGCTGTTGTTGACCATCCTGTGGCCGGATTAATTGAAGTTTTTAATACTCATGTAAGCCATTGTTATTTGACGAGTGTGATTTTTATTTCATGGTTTAAAGATTTATTCAATTTTATATTTTAGACCCATGCAGGATATGGTTCAAAAAAAAATGATGCATATTTGGGCCATAGAGTTTCGCAAGGTTGGGAAATATCAAACTTATTAAAATCTTCAGCATCAAGAGGGCGTAATGTAATTGCTGTAAGTGATTTGGTGTTATCTCATCTAATATTATTTAGATTAAGAAATATATCTTTTTATATTAGATGGGCGATTTCAACAGTGATCCAGAAACCTTGGTACATAAATTAATTACTACGCACGGACAAATGACAGATGCTTGGCAATCTCAACATCCATCTACTCCAGCTAGTATATCTACTACTTCAATTAACCATAATACATCAACTACATTCGACCCAAATAATGCTATAATTCAGAAAGGTTACACTAGCAATTCTCCATTAAACACATGGTCAAAGAGAAGTGTCAAACAAGCAGTACGTGATCGCTATGCAGGTCAGCGCATCGACTTCGTCTTTTATCGAAAAACATCTAGATTTTGGTGTAGCGGTTCTCGTGTTGTTTTTACGGAAAAAATACCCGAATTTGGTATCAGTTATTCGGATCATTTTGGAGTGGAAGCTACATTTACACTCGTTGGACGAGATAAAAATGCTGTAATCCCACTTTCAGTGTGGGAGCTAGGTGCATATGAGCATTTACATGAGTTGGATACCCGTACTCTCAAAGATATAGGAGATCTTTTTAAGAAAGATTTGAACAGATCACAAGCATCTTCGCACATTCATTTATTTTTTTTTTATCTCTCTTTACTTGTGATAATTGGCTTGATTGTCTTGGAAGTTCTGTTCTCTACAGGAGTTATATTGACATACCTTTGGGTTAATATAATTATTATTGTAGCTATTGCTCCAATTACAGCTTTTGGTACTATAATGGGATTGCACGGGTTTCTTTTTGGTAATGTAGAACAAAGTGCACTAAATCAGTTCATTCAAGAAGTTCAATCTTATGCTGAGGGAAAAAAAGTTCTTGAGAGTCGTGCGAGTAGTGTTGCATTCCTCGATGATAATGGAAGCAGTCATAGGTCTTCTGCTGTTGCTGGCACATCATCTCAAATCGAAATTGATCCGCGATTTAAATTGTAATATAATTTATTTTATTTAATTAGGGGGCTAGATTTGGATTCTTCATTTTTACTGTGTTCTAGTGGCTAATTTTTATGCGAGACACTATTTGTATACCTATTATATAGTATATACATATTGGCTTTGCTTTAATTTACAAAATTTTTTAATTTAATTAGTTCTTCTATATGCAAGTTTTGGTATTTTTATGATGTAAAAACATTTTTTATGTATTTTTATAACACTATAGATATTAATTAATTAGTATTTTACCTATTAGAAAATTATTATGGTAATATTTGTAATAAAAAAAAAAAAAATTCTTGACCAATCAAATCATTAAGTGATATGTCAAGTGATATATGCAATAAATTAATCATGTGCGTGACTTTGACATTTTGTTATTATGGACAACCTTTCTTCTACATATGATCTCTTGGGTTTATCCACCAAAAGTACAGGTGGAAAGATCTCAAAAGTTCGCTTCGACAATACAAAACAGGAATTTGAAAGTAATGAAGTATTATTTGCTACAGGTTCTTGGGATACTCCAAAGGTTTCTTTCTTATTTCTTAGCAAACCAATCTATTATTATTTCATAATAAACATATTTCACGCGTTTTATAGGAAAATACATTGCTATTATGGAATGTTGAACAAGTTTCTTTTGGTTTGGGCGAACAACCAAGTTTAACATTTTCAGTTCTCGGTAAAACAACTCATGAAGGAGATGTTACTGATATGCGATTTATTGGAGATAATATCTTACTTACATCATCTTCAAATGGATCATTAAATGCCTTTCAAATAGTAAAATTCGTTATTCAGTTTTGATTATAAATTTAATTAATTCAATGTTAATTCCTATATTTTAATTAATAGATAAATACAAATACATCTGATTTTATGGACCAGTCCGTTGGAACTTCTAACTATCAATTACAAATGATTATGAATCGTCGATTACACAGTTTCACCGACACCAAAAATGCATCACTTAATAGTTTCGCAATTAAACCACATAGTATAAATGATCCATTAGTTGCAACCGTTGGAGAAGATGGTAGAATTGTGATTGTAAGAATTGAAGACTCAGTTAAAGATCACGTCATAGAAGATGCTGATGCCTCTTCAATCAAAGCAATTTTATGGCCAAGATCAAATGAAATTGTAAGTTTTTATATTTTTAATTTGCGAAAAAAAATATATAATTAGTTGATGAAGTACTTTAATATTTTAAAGATCTTAGCGAATGGTTGTGGACAATTGAGAATATTCGATCCGAGAGAAAACAAACCTACAACAATATGTCATGAGTAAATAATTATTATTATATAATATTGTACTTAAAAAATATGATTTTCTTTTGGTAATACTTTAGTTGTTGCTATAGTCCTATTAATATCAGAGTACCAATTAACTGTTTAGCATTTCATCCTTCCAAGGTAAATAATAAAGTACAAGGAATAAAGAGAAGTTTGATTATGGAATGCTAAATAATTAATTTGATTACTTTTCCTTTAGGTACACAAAGTTGCGTCAGGAAATAACAAAGGTGGTGTGACAATATGGGATACAAGAAAATTGACAGAACCGGAAAAACATGCTCAACCACATAATTCTCGAGGTAAAAATAATATTTTTTTGTTTAAATTATTTTACCGTATTAAATATCATTTTTCTTTCATCAGTGTGGGAAGTATTTTATCACCCATATTACCAAGAATTATTATTTAGCTGTTCCGAAGGTATTTTTAAAATATATAGACGATAACTAAATTGTAAATTATCGCTAATTATTTAAATCGTTATAGACGGAACTATCGGAGCTGTTAACTTTGCAGATTTTACACCGACATTTTCTTCTCAAGATTCAATGAATGCTGTGAAGGGACAGAACGTAACCATAAGAAAGATTGGGTTCAAATCTAATGAACTTCCTATTAATTCTATTGATTATCATCCTCATTCGAAATTATTGATTAGTGGAGGAGATAATGAAAATTTACTTTATACACTCATATGAAAATGAAGATTAGATGGACTTATCTGATATGATTAACCATAAATGAACTTTACTGAAAATCAAGTACTTATTTATCACGTATATAACGTTTGGAATCGACAAAAAAAAAAAAATACAGACGATCGTCAATTTGCATTTGAATGACGGAGATATTCTAAATTATTAATTATTACGTAAATGCATCCGCAGATTTACAATTAAAATTGCTGCGATTTACTTTTAAAGCTTTTAACAAGTTTTTAACTCTGATTTTATGTAGAGAGCCTAATTTGTAATGTTTACAATTAGAAACCTCGGATCTTGTTCACTTGCATAGATCTTTGTTGACTAAACATATGCATTAAAAAACAACTTTTTAACTGATCCAATTAAATTGGTAAAAATATCATTGTTAAAGTTTCATTTTAAATCATGTGACCAAACAAATAATTTATATTAATGTCTATTCTCGGTTATAATACCTGTTTGTTAGTACTGGTTCCCCGGAATTAATCTTTTGACTCAGAGTTTTGAGCCAATCTCAACTTAATATTAAAACCATTTTAAAAATTAGTTTATAATTGAATCCATTCCCCTTTATTGTAAAAGGTCAGCAGTTCGAATATTTAGTTTATATATTCAGCATGTAGGCTACGCTATGTCCAAAATTTGCTTTCTTGTATGTAGCCTCGTTATTGTTTGCAAGTTACAACTTAAATGTTTATTATTTTGCACTCTAGTCACATATAAATATAAATAGATCGGGTGAATTCGCAATTTTTGCAGCAATCAGCTTGTCAACTTTCCTGTCTAACCTGAATAACCTACCACATTTGGGCTTTTATGCTCGTTATCTATTACCACTTTTTTTAATTTATTTTTTTTGACCACAAACAAATCTGCAAATTCACCTGTATTTTCCACATTTCCCACGACAATAGCGCGTCATTTTTGTTTGAACTTACCAATAATATATTAGTAAATATAAAATATTCAATTCAGGCAAATGGAAACAAAGCCTTCAAAAAAGAATTTTCCCGTTAGTAATAATGATTTTGAATTTTTAAATAAATACCCTCAAGATTCTCAAACCCAAATTTTTTCAAAAATTGCTCATAAAATAACGAAAAAAATTTCATTTGGAAAATCCGCAGTCGTTAACCAAAATAAGAAAATGAGTATTCAGAAAAGGAAAATAGATAACTTAGAACTACCTGATTCTGGATTTGTGCGGTCAAATTCGCCAATGTCTGGATATTCGTCTTCTGAAGATGAATACGGACCTTCCGCTAACCAACCTCTTATATACAATGATGCCGTTTCGATACAACTTCATCAGCCAAGAGGTGATATGGCAACAGGAGGTTAGTATTTATACTATATGTTGTAAAAAATAAAAAAAAATCAGCAGTAAATTTATTATCATATATATAGACGTATCACAAGTTTTGATTATTTACACGGGTGGTACTATCGGTATGAAAAATACAAGGAAACATGGATATGTCCCGGTAAGTCATCTAAAGAATTAGATCCATCGGGTTTAATTTTCGAAGTCTTTTTTGTTTACGTGATTTTATGTTTTAGGTGCCAGATTATCTTACAGAAACTCTCGCGGGAATGTCTCGATTTCATGATCGTACATATGATCTGAATTTTCGTCGTTTTTCATCATCGAACTCGGAAGATCAAACTGAAGAGGAGGCTTATCCCACAGTCAAAATTACTGTCAAAGATCCAAACAAAGAAGATTATATTGAAATTTCTCAACGTTGTTTAATATCACCCCCTTCTTTGGTAGGAAAGAGAATAAGGTAAGTGTTAATTTTTTAATAAAAGTAATAATGATATAAAACCGAACTGACGAATGAATTCGTTATTTAAATATTTCTACAATTTTAGGTATTCCATAATCGAATATGTACCTCTACTGGATTCTTGTAATATTTCTAGTGATGGTACTTTTTAATAAAAATTTTTTTAATATATTTTATAATCAGCTTAAATTTTTTATTAAAAAATTTTTTCAATTAAGATTGGATACGCATAGCAACTGATATTGAATCGAATTATGAGTCATTCGATGCCTTTATAATTTTGCACGGTTAGTTACCTTCCTTGCAATTAATTTCTGAATCATAATTAACGATTAACGATTTTCTTTACATTTGTCGAATAGGCACGGATACAATGGCGTATACTGCTAGTGCACTCAGTTTTCTTTTGGAGGATTTAGGGTAAATATCATATCAATTAATTTTTTTTATTATTATACATATCTGATTGATGATTTTTTTTTTTTTTTTTTTTAAAAAAAAAAAAAACAGTAAAACCGTTATATTAACAGGTTCACAGGTATGAAAGAGCCGCTATTTCACTATCAATAAGATCAATAAGAGAACAACAAACAAGGAGGACCCAAAACGTATAATTTATTTTTTCTTGTAATTGATATAGAAATAAAGATATTAATTCTTTTTTATTAGGTTCCTATATCCGAAGTTCGTAATGATGGCATTGAAAATCTTTTGGGTGCACTTACAATTGCTGGTCATTATGTCATACCAGAAGTATGTTTATTTTTCAACAACAAACTTTTCCGTGGAAATAGGTGTTTGAAAATGAATACAGTCGACTTCGATGCATTCGATTCACCAAATCTAGCTCCATTAGCTACAGTTGGGATAAATATAAGTAAGAAATTCGATCTGTTATGGTTTATTAATTACCTATTTTATCACATGCTCAAAAAAAAATTCTTCTTTTAGATGTTAATTGGGCAGAGGTTGTAAGGACGTCTTCGATTGCTAAATTTAAGGTGCATAAAAAACTTAATCGAAATGTGGGCACTTTGCGATTGTTTCCCGGTATAACAGAAACAACTGTGAAAGCATTATTAGCAGAACCGATAGAAGGTTTAATTTTAGAGACTTACGGAGCTGGAAACGCGCCTAATACTCGAGATGATATAATGAGGGCTTTAGCATCTGCTAGTGATAGAGGTGTTGTTATTGTAAATTGCACGCAATGCAAAAAAGGAATCGTAACCGACATGTATGCGACTGGGAAAGCCCTTCGTAAAGTTGGTGTTGTATCTGGAAATGATATGACTCCAGAGGTATTTACTTAGTTTCCATAGAAATAATTTTTTAAAAGATCATATTTATTAATTTATTATTCTTTGTTATTAGTGTGCGCTGGTTAAACTTGCATATTTACTTAGTGAAAATCGGTTTTCGCCTACAGTAGTACGCGAGTTAATGACAAGGAACCTTCGTGGGGAGCTGACAGTTGTAGCTCCAAAACCTAGATTCACATTTCATAATCGCACTCATAAAATAATACAAAATATGATAAGTAAGTTTTTTTAAAGAATAATAATAACATTGTTATCTATTATCCGTGGCTTGTTGTTAATAACGATTCCTGATATTTGAACAGATGCTGCTGCGGATGCAAACAAAGCGGCTGTGAAAGATACATCATTAATGATGGATGTGCAAGAGAAGGTTTTAATGGAAAAATCTTTATATCCAATTTTGCTATGTTCCGCGGCCGGAACAGATGATCTTGACGGGATGCTGCTATTATCAGAGAATTATGAAGGGATGATGTTAATGTTGAATTGTATGGATTATGATGGAAGAACTCCTCTAGTAAGTATATAAATTACAATATCTTTAATTTTATCCAATATAAAGTTAAATAATTTTTTTTATAGCACATTGCATGTACAGGAGGACATCATCGAATAGTAAAATTTTTGTTGCAAAACGGAGCGTCTGTTCATATGAGAGATAGATTTGGTCATACACCTTTGTATGAAGCAGCACGAAACAAACACAAACATGTGGTTCATACATTGCGCGAAACAGGAGCTCATTTTAATGATGCAGAAATTAATGATGTAATGTTTCAGGCAATATCGTAAGTAACTTACTAATGAAATAAATTTTGATAATAATTAAATACTAACAAATTATGTATATTTTGGAAAAAAAAGTGCCTCTGCGAATGGCGATGTAGAATTACTTAAACATTTTGTTGATGCTGGAATAGATATAAACCGTACTGGATTTGATCATCGTACAGCATTACATCATGCAGTAGCTGAAGGTTGTCTTGAGACTGTTCAGTATCTTTTGTCATTACCTGAAATAAATACAGAGACTAAGGATAGATGGGGAAGGAGACCTATTGATGATGCCGAAATGAATCTTGGCAGAATGTGGGGAAGGGATAATGAAACAGAAAAACAGTTGAGAGAAATTGTTAGATTGCTGAGAGATAAAGCTGATTATGAAGAATACGAAACAATTAAGATTAAACATCCAAGTACATCGAACGAAAATAGTCGATCAAACGATCATTTAAATGGTGTAAATGGAGTTGTATTTGTAGTAAATAATGGTGATTCAAAAATGATGCGAAAAGTAGAAAAGTAACCATAATTCGTCTGGAAAAATTGAGATTAGATTTTTTTTTTTAATGTTATCATTTTATAATAATAGATAATTTACAATCCTTTATATTTCTTTTGTATTAACTGGTAATTTTTTATAATAATAATACATAAAGTAATTCGAGAGTTATTTACAGGAATAAATTGAGACGATAAATCTATTTAATATATATTGTTTCCCCACTATCCCTATGAATGTTTTGCAGGTAAATTTGCATGTAATTTTACTTAAAATTAAAGTTAATTTTAATATATCCTTGAGGTGTTAAACTATTAAAATTCAAGAAAAATTCTTTGATTAATAGCTTTTTAAGAAAAATGAATAATGAATTATTATAAATAGAGGATAAATTCTTTGAATTAATATTTTTCAATATATATTAATTGCTAGAAATATACCATTTATTATAATTTTTTTGTATAATTGTTAAATAAAAAAGTTACTAAAAATTACAAACATAAAATTATCATTCCTTAATAACTTTAGTCACGTGACTATAATAGATACAATGCAATTATATATTTTTGTTTGTGCATCAAATTCTCGAACTTTAAAAATGTCAAAACTTTCTTTACAAAATGCTATATTAACTTATGAACAATTAGAAACCACACCTTCAAAAAAGGATAATATACCCGAAGAATTAGAAGATGAACTTCGTAGATTAGGATGCGATTTCATTCAATCTGCTGGAATTGTCTTGCGATTGTAACTAATTATTGAAATTTTCTTTTTTTTATTGAGGATTAAACTCATATAGTAATATTATTATTTAGACCGCAGGTAGCTATGGCTACTGCACAAGTACTTTTTCAACGATTTTTTTATGTCGCGTCATTAAAAAAATTCTCCGTTAGGGTTTGTATTCGAAATATTTTGAAACAATTTTTTTTTTAAAAAAATAGAATTTTTGAAAGAAACTTCTTTTTGAAAGGACATAGGTATGGGGGCTTTATTCTTGGCTTCAAAGGTTTCAGAATCGCCATGTAAAATTCGCGATTTAATAAATGTTTATAACTATTTGATAAGACGTTATCGTAATGAACCAAATGAACCATTAGAATATTTAGGACAAGTAAGATATTATTGTTATTGTTTTTCAATTTTTTTTCTTATTACTCTTATTAAAAACAATCTTTTGAATTTTAAAGGTATTTTACGAAATGAAAGATGCGTTAGTAATAGCTGAAATGCAAATACTAAAGAAATTGGGATTTAATGTTCATGTACAATTACCATATGGATTAATGGTTAATTACTTAAAAGTATTAGAATTAACTGATCATGAAACAATTCCTCAAAAAGCGTGGGGATATCTTAATGATTCGTGAGTAAAATTTTTAATTCTCCTATTTACTTGAATTATGTCAATTAACTAACTTTTATAATCACTACAGGTTAAGAACAAATGTTTACGTATGTTATCAGCCTGCAACAATTGCTTGTGCTGTTATATGGTTAGCTGCAAGGATAGCTCAAGTCAAATTACCAACGTCACCTCCATGGTGGGAATTATTTGAAGCTGAGTTAGAAGATATCCTTTATTTTATTGAACTGAGTTTTTTATTTGCTCATCTTTTATTTGAATTTGTCTTTGACAATCTTGTGAATACATATGGAAAATATATCCAGGCATATCATGAGATTGTATGCTATAAGGCTACCTTCAAATTTACCTCTTTCACTTGATGAATTAGAAGATTACTTGAAGAATTATGAAGATAGAAGAAAATCTGGAATTAATGAAATTAATGAAATTAATGATAATAAAGATGATTTGGGTCCAGCTCCTATGGTAACTATGTAATCATTTAATCGAAGAGGAAATTGTTTATTTGATGTGAATTATTAAATAGTCGAGTTATATATAATTTTAGGTTGAAGATTGAAAAATTTAATGTATTAATAATGTTTTGAAGATATTTCTTATACCGATGTACAGCACCCATTCTATGTAATTTTTACATGTAATAATGGTAAGTTATATTTTCTTATCAGAAAAAAAAAATAAAATAAAATATTCTTATTGTATATGTTAATAAATTTTAGATTATTATCTTAGAGTTAATAATAATTGGAGTATTCTGAAAATATTAAATCTAGCGAATATATATTTATTCTATAATTATCATTTTAATATTCTTGCCATTACTTTATATTCTATTTTATAACTCTAGACATTCTAGACATCTATTACCACCCAAGAGAAAACTAGAGACCATAAAAAATACTATTAATATATAAGTTACTTTTAATAATAAAAGACTTAATTAATAAACTCACCCAAGGGATATCACTTTCTTCATAAGGGTTTGGAGGTCTTTTGTATGACACAGGTACCCCATGATCTCTAAACCAATCTCTTTGTTCACCTATATTATTTTCTTTATCATCATCATCACGTAACTTAGTTATCGGAAGAAATATTCCTAATTCCCAATTATAAATTTTTAGCTGAATTTCCTTTGTATCTCTTGATACATTGAGTTTTCCCCTAATTAAAGGGATGTTAATTTATTTATTGTATTTATTATTGAGTTCAAAAAAAAAATTAATAATAATAATAATAAATTGGTTCAACTTACCAAGCGGATTCTGTAAAATTATGACTTCTATAATAATAGTAATTGAATTAGTTAACATAAATATTACTAAATGCATGCATTTAAACATGATACATACCCACAATAATACCATCCTACGATGTTATTATCTCCTTGTACATCATGTACATCATCAGTTACAGTATCTTGTGATAAATCTAAAATATTTTCTTCCGTAATAGTTTCTTGTATGTCTACATCTGCTACATCAGAATCAGTTGCAGATTCATCACTATCATATTTATTTTTGATAATCTTTCTTTTGTTAATCTTAATTTGTCGGTTTTGTTCTTGTTCCAACAATCGCTTCTCCTCTAATTGATCTGGTGATGGCCGAATAAATCTAGCTAATAAGAACTAAATTTGATATATTATATGTTAATTGTGAATATGTGAAGTCAAAAATATAAATTGTAAGAAAAAAAAATAGTTTATTTTTTTTTTTTACTTTTGTATGCATTAATATTCCATTTCTATTCGATTCACATTTCCTAACCAGCAAATAAACATATAAATAGTTTCTATTTTCAGATTAACCTGTTATAAACAATTAATATTATAACTCACCTTAAAATTTCTTTAGGAAATGTTATTTGTTCATAACATTTCTTAGAAAAACACAAAGGTCCAGCTCCCTATATACACATAACGCGTCAATAAATAAAACTATTTTACTTTTAATAAAAATCTACAAAATAATATATACCGCAAATGTATATTTTGAATTCAAAACCGTCTTATTAGTTGGAAAAACAATAGTGATAGGAGGTAACGGTTGTGGTTGTTGTAACGCTTGTGGTGATTGTGACGGTTGCGATGGTTGCGATGGTCCTGGAGATTCATTCTCTTCAAATTGTTCTTTATCTCTTTTTGATTTACGTTGTTTTGGGATAATATACGGATCAAGACCCTTAGCTGACCTATAAAATTCATTTAAAAATTCTGGAGTAATCGAACCAAGTGATGAAGACTAATTTATTCCCCAAAAAATTAGTTAATAATTAAAATAAAAAAAATCAATAATGATATACTTTAATACCTGACATTCTAATTCAACATCTTCGTATTCACAAATATTCTTTACGATCTGAGATAATCTTCCATGACCATATTTCTTTACATCATCAATACCCTTATAGGCTCCAGGTATGGAAGGTATAATAATCGCCTGAATGATAAAATTTTTTATCGAAATATAAATAACTATAATAAGAAATAACAACCGTTAAATTTTACCTTTGCTTTTGAGTAATCATATTGAGGAAGCTTATCTATAATATGAGATTTTAATCCCATAGCTAATAAATAATCTTTTAATTCTTTCGCAAACAAGTGAAGATCATTATTAATTATATTATTTTCATTATATCTTGGGAAATCTTGTATGAAGACAATATTTTCAGAAATTTCCCAATCATGAGAAATTAAATTAGCAGAAGAAATGACGACACGTATCCACTCATCATAAATTAATATCATTAATTTAGCATGAAAACATCCATGTCCCATACTTGACATTGGAGGATGAACTAATAATATATTTGTATTGGGTATACAGAATACTCCTTGCTGAATGTGACAAAAGGAAATCATTTAAATTATTTAAAAAAAAATTATACTAAAATTTTTTTTTTTTAAAAAAAAAAATTAGTTACCGAATCACCATTTTCAGGATCCCAATGTTTAGCTACGACTATACTTATGTTTTTTGGTAAATTTTCAAGTAGCCACGAAAATTCTATAGTCATCGCGCAAAAAAACGCGCTTTTCAATTGATTCTTCCGGAGAAAGAAAAATAAAGTTAGATAAAATCGCAGTACATCGAAAAGATAATCAGTCTAAAAAATACCTTTTGAATTATTTCATCGAATCGAATATAATCACCATTATATCCCGGAACATATGTAAGCTTCGTGACACCATCCAGAAACTGCGGACCTATTTTTTCTTTAAGTAAAAAAAAAAAAAATTAAATCTTTAATATATTTCAATTCATCGTTATCCATATATACTTTTATACCTATTATAACATGATTAATATTTGTTTTATTATCACTTCTATTGTCGTCTTTCTTAAGTCTTTTTACATTTTTCTTATCCTCTTTTAGTTGAGAAACAATACTATCTTCGCAATTATTGACCGGTGAACCTAGAATATTTATTTTACTACGCATGCTAAGTTTCACGTAAAAAAATTGCTTGTTAATAAATTTTTCATTTTTTCATTGTTATAATTCTAAAAAATATTTGACTGCATTCTTACATTTTATTTGTTGTTTTTGAGTTTTTCGGTTCGACTTTTGAGATCAAAATTTTTTTTACGATAATTTTATAATGGCGTTAACGCGCTTAATTACTAAATGAGGATCCGCAGTACGACTTGTTGTAGTATCGCGTGATCTATTCCTGACCGAAACTTTTAAAAGGTAATGAGAAGTTTGCTATTGAACCAATTATTGTTAATAAAAAATTTAATTAAACAAAGAAAATCACTTTCTTAGGAACAGAATCCGAGAATTAAAAATTGGCCATTACATTTTATAAAATTAATAACATTGATGGCAATAGTAACGACTCCATAAATCATTAAGTTTCTTACTACTACTGTATAGTCTTGAATATCCCGCAAATATTAACTCTTTTATTCTCTTTACAAGTATTATAATTTTTTATGTAACCCATCTATACAATATTTGACAAGAGATGCTTCTAGCTACATTTATCTTTTTATAATGCAGTGAAATAAAGTAAAGGTTAGAAAATATTATATATTTTTGACATTCCCGCTTCGCTTTATACTTTATTATCAAAGAAAGAGCTAGCTTATGTTTTCCGATTTTGAAGTTACTGGCAAAGAGATTACTGAATGTGTCAATTATATAATCAAAGATTCTCTAAAAGCTTATTTGCATCGTAGAATAGATACCAAGTTTACCGAGTTTACTTTGATAGAGGATTTAGGAATTGCAAAGAAGCATGAAAGTTATTATTAGTTTGTTAAAGGAAAGCTGGAAGTGTAGAGATTGAGAAATACTTCAAAAAAGCTCCATTTTATGGAAAGAAATTCAAACTCACTACTCTATCAATTTCATAATTATTAAACAAAATAAATACATATATCCAATACAACGTTGCAACGCGTATTGCAACCAATACTTTGATGAGTATCTATATCAATATCTTTCCTGAAATTAAATCTGCATTTATGTTAACACTAAGAAGTAGGTATATTAAATCATTTATAACTCCATCGGATGAAATACAGATGAAAGTTCAAGCATATTACTACATTAAAGTAATAATGAGACTTAGTCGTATGCACTGTCGTATGCAGTAAGTGCTTATTAATCTTTCTGTATTAATGAGTTAATATTAGAAAGTTTTTTTATACTAGCAAATTTGTTATTGACAAATATTGTATATTATATTACTGCATTTTTTCATCTCTGAATTAATTTAGTCCTTTGAATTACCGTCATACTAATGTCATACATTTTTACATATACAGTATTCCGGAACTTTTGGGCGATTGTTAAATCAGTCATTTTTTGAAGGTTTGGTGAAAATATACTTGAATTTATCTATATTTCCATATCCTAAAATAAATTTCAACTTTGTAAATTATAATTTATTTATACAAAAAGTAATCAAATGATGAAATAATTAAATAAGAAAATTTTTAATAAATAATTTCTGAGATAAAGGGTTTTTTAGGATCGTTTAAGCGCGATAAACGTGACTTGTCAACAAACGTACCACGAAATTGTCGAGCCAAAAAAGTTCCAAGTACATGGTTTTACGGCGATGTTTGGCTGAGTCGGTGTAAATTATTTCAGTTTGTCACATTTGCGTACTAATTTATTTCTGGATCAAACCGCTGATAACCTTATGAAAAAAAAATTTACTAAAAATATATCTAAATTTTAAAGTATACTTAAAATATACTTAAAATTGCATTTTTTTTACATCTAAAATGTAATTAAATTATTATAATTTAAGAGAATGCATTTGGCGTTGCTGGATTGGTAAAATTGGTAAAATGCATTCTGCAGATGTTAAAATTTTAATTATATTTTAAGAATTATATTTTAAGTCTAATTTAAAGTACATTTTAAGTATCATAGTAAACCTGCTTCTTACAATCTTAAATTTCTGTAAGACCAATCTCTCTCATTTATTTTCATTACTATTTATTTATTTACTATTTATTTATTGACATGGTTTATTTGAGGAATCCTTGCAAAAACTAAGAATTTCACTCAACGCAGATCATTGCGTCGGAAAAATATTCCCCGAAAGAAAATAAACTTTTGAATTCATGGTAACATAAATAATAAATAAAATAATAATAATAATAATAATAAAAATTTCCTAAAAATAAATTTATTCTACAGTGAAATTAAATTTCAAAATTAACCAATGAAAATCGAGTTTAACAAATTAAATATCTCATCAGATAAAACCTTTTACTGAAGAATTAGTGTATAGAATGTCAAATATAGGATAATTAAAGGATGAACCATGAGATACGATGTATGATGTAATAATAAGTAAAGTTGATGAAGATTATATTGATGAATTTCTTGAATAACATTTGATAGATTTACAGATATAAAAGAAATTGGGGGAAGGAGGATTTGCCAAAGTGTATTCTGTAACATGGATTAGTGGTATATCAATTATAAAGATGATGACGGAAGCTATAAAAAAGAAAACCCTAAACCCAATGATGAAAGTTGCTTTGATAAGGTTAAATGGATCACAGAATATGACACACAAATATTTAAATGAAGTACGTTTTATACTATTTTATTTCCTAATTTAATTAATTTTATTTTTATTATTTAATATTAAAAATCATTAAATTATTAATTTGTTGCGAATATAGCTTAAAATACATTGAAGGTTATGGATTACTATTTTATGGATTAACTAGAATTTGCTGACAAAGGAAATTTGAGAAATAATCTTTCAAATAATTTTAGCAATATTTTAAGAGAAAAAAAAATTGAATATTAAGTGATTCATCAGTAGAATTATAGTGGAAATGAAACCAGACGATTAAGTATACGCAGTACCATATATTGCACCAGAAGTCTTAAATGGAGAATCATATACATCATCATCTGATATTTATAGCTTTTGTAATTATGACAGATTATCGTTTGAAAACCACCTTTTACAATAAAAAAAAGGAACTCCTAAATTTTATAAGAAATTAGCTTATAAAAGTATGAATGCCAATCCAAATGAAGGACCAGCAGCTGGTGAATTAAAGATTGTTTGTAAAAGGGAAGAAATTAGAACAGCGTTTAAAGAAGCGATAAAGAAATACCAAACATTTTACATACAATACAGAATACGATATTTTTATAGATTCCAAATATTATATTGTAAATAAAAAAATTCTGCTTACTTGTCAAATTTATTCATTTCTTTAATTGGCTATAATTTGTTAGAGTTAATAAAAAGAAAATCCGTCGAAAAATTGAGTAATTAATAAAACACTTGTACTTTGCTTTGGAAGGTAGGGATTGGAATCGATTCCCATAGTTAGAATCGATTTAGAATCGACTAATCGCGATTAATCGTTTCTCAAATTTCGATTCTAAAATTCGATTTTCGATTTCGATTAATCGTTTTGCATCATTAAATTTGTGGAAATTTTCCAATAATCACAAATTTACCATATAAATCATTTGATTATTAAATTTTATGATTTTGCATTTAAAATAAAACGTTTATTGAATATCAGTGATCGATGGTAACTCTGCCTTAAGCTTATAATTCCGGCCAGAATTAAAACTTTGTCACGTGATTATAATTTCGTAATTCTGGCCGGCACTATAGTTTCGATTTATTATCAGTACATAAATGATTATTAAAATTTTTTATAAAAGATAGAAAACTTTGTTTACATTGCACAAAACAAATCGTGCCTTTATCTTTTCTTTTTCTGAAATATATGAAAATTTTTCTATAGAAAGAGAAATGTGTAATTGAGAAAAAATATAAAATCCAATTGTGATTGTGATATAATATATATTTAAAATCTTTTATAGTGAAACATTGGGTTTATGATACAAAGTAATAATAAATCATATAAAAAATTTTTGGATATATTATTATTTAATTTGTAACGCAGCAACTAAAATGTCATGTGATCTATAGTACAAGTTATAAGAGCGAGATTGTTAAAGATATAAAATGTTCAATTGGGCGAATTATTTATAACATCTTATCTATTTTTAAAATTTTTTAGTACGCTCATGACAAAATTGAGTTGCTTAATAACTTTTTAATATTTAAGTTTACATATAGTTATTACAGATTCCGTTTCTAGCGATAAAAGTTTCTATCAATTTGATAAAAAAATAAACATCCCATATTAATTGTATAATTTTCACAGGCTTAATTGAAACACTATGACGTTTAAATTTTGTAAACAAAGTTTAATGATCCTATGGCTTTTATAAACCAATATTTAATTATGATAATTTTTTTTTTCCGTAGTTTAAAACATAGAAAATCATTGTTTAAATTTGATTTCTTCAATGTGCTAGTTCTAAGAATGTTATTATGGAAAAACTTGCAAAATCAAATAGTCTTAAAAAATTAGCAAATTATTTATTTATATGAAATCAATCTTAATAAATTAATAAAGTGAACAAATCGATTTAATCACTGAACAGTAAGCATAATAGCTTTTTATGTTTGTGAAATTGATCATTAATAAAGAACTTGATAAAGGAAATGCATCGTATGAGTTTAATAAGGATACTCAAGCTTGCATTTCAGTACTTTGAAAAATTGAAGAATCTAAAAATAAAGATGTATTCTTTGAATATGGCAATTCTTTAGTAAATAGAGATCCATCCATTGCTAGATGTTTGTTTAGGTTTTCTATTATCACACAATCGACAAAAATAAGTCTAAAATGCTTTTAACTGAAAGACAAGAAAGACAAAAAATTAGAGAAAAACCGCAAGTGCTTCCTAAAAACAAATAAACAATGGAAAGTCAAATCATTTTCAAGTGACTTATGTAATATGTAATTACTATTTGTTGCTGACTTAGCCAAGTCTTTTTAAAAAACTTGTTGTCACCTGATCACCACGTTGAGGTGCAGCAACATTGATCAGGGGGGAAGGGGAAAACGAAAGGAAAAGGGAAAAACGAAGGGGAAAGGGGAGAACGAAGGGAAAAGGGGGACGAAAGGGAAAGGGGATAACGAAAGGGAAAGGGGAATAACGAAAGGGAAAGGGGAGAACGAAGGGAAAAGGGAGAACGAAAGGGAAAGGGGAT